ATGAGAGAGATATTCAGATATTCCAGTTGTTTAGATCAGGGGTAGATTACCCAATATTTTAGACTCAGCACCTTCTTGCATATATAATGACAAAGAATTGTGGCACGCATTGCAAATAGATGGAACATCAAACTATTACTGGTCTAGGAAATGAACCAGAAGCACTGTAGTCCTCAACATAATATTAGAGCTTGCATATGTTCCAAGCATTTATATGAAATAATAGTCTTTGAGCAAATGAGAACATGTACTATCCACACTTCTAAACAATGAAAAGGAATTCTGGGTTAACCTACTTTACTCAAAGGTAGACTGTTATTTCAGAAAATAAATGTTAGCCAGAAATAAAAGCACAAATGTTCGGAATAAATGTGACATTCGATTATATTTAAGTGAAAATTAGATGTAATTAATACAGGTAGTCTTTGTTCACTAACTACAATTGGACTGGCAACTCAGTTGTTAAAACAAAGCAGTCACTAAGTGAAACTGCTACTGTGCTTATTCTCTTCTTTTATCTTTCCTTTGCTTTACAGACCTTTGAAAATCATAATTGCAAGGATTGGTTGCAAAGTTAATTTTTTATTACTGTCACAACTGCAAACAGTCACTAATCAAAGCAATCATTAAATATTAACTACCTGTATTAAACAAAATGAACTGAATTCAGTTATTATCAATTATTCCATTATAGATAATGTTTCTTTATATTATTAAACATTCAATTCTACTACAACTTTGGGAAGGGCTGTGACCTGCACACATGCTATTTTGAGGGATCATGTGAGATGTGCCATAGGTTGCGTATCTCTAATGTAAAGGCTTCCTTGAATCTTCAACAGAAGCAATTCAGGCAGTAATATTTCCTAATCATGCTGAACCATTGATTGAACTCTAATTCTGCTTAGGCAATTTTAAGAAACTATGTGAGCAGAGCTTCTAATAAGACCTCAGTGAGAGTCTTTCACTCAGGAAAAAAGAGAAATAATATTGCGCATGATGACAATAGAAGAACAAGGGCATTGTAATATTTTAATAAATAAACTGGTTTAAGGATAACTGTACCAAATTAGTAACATGGCCCTTTGCCCAAATTTGTGTGCTGAAGTAAAATGCTGTTTTTATTTTTTCTACTTTATAATTATCTTTGCTCAGGTAAAAAGTACAGTTTGCAATTCCTTATTGAAAAAAATAGAAGCCTATAGGGCAAAACTAGGAAGTAGCTTTCAGGTGTCAACTATTTCACCTGGCTGAAAACAGTGTAACATTTGTCATTTTCTCAGTGCCCTTTAGAACATTGGATTGAAAAGTTTTCCCTCTGGCTGTTAGAAACCATACACTAGATTTCTGATATTCACAGCTTTTAGCAATTAAATTAAACCCTTAGCTAAGTGTTGTCACAAAACTGTCAACATAGAAAAATGAAATGTGAAAAAAGGGAAAAAATGTGAAAGCAAAATGGCAAAAGCCATATGTGGAGTCATTTTGTTACAAACATGCAAAAACAATCCTGAGTTAAATGCTTTTTTTAAAAAAAAATGCATTTGATAGTAGCCTAGAGAATGTAATCAGATGAATTATATCAGATGAATCATATTAGAAGATTAATTGTAATTCTGAGAATAATTGAATACAGCCATGGGTATTGATTTACTGTTCTTGTAGTGTCTTAAACTATGCATAGGCACCAGAAGAAAAAAGTAATTCCAATAAATCAGTGTGTGCTAAGGACATTATAGCGTTGAGAAAACACAATGCTTTTAGTACATAAGCTTTATTGTTCAGCTGCTTTAGAGGAGTTAATTTCCACAGCTGTTGTGGCTTCTTTAAAATTGATTACTACATTATCTGTAAAATGTTTTAATACAGCTTTTGCACAATTATGGTGTTTTTAAAATTAATTTTTAAATTAAAATTAATTGATTAAACATAGTTTTAAAATGATTGATTCAGAAAAAAATATTACAGATTAAGTGTGATCTTGCCAAAATACTGTCAATGAAAATGGAAAGAGCTTCTAGATAAGTGTTTCTCAACCTCAGCAGCTTTTTCAGTGTTTCTCTCTCTTAGCAACTTTAAGATGTATGGATTTCAACTCCCAGAATTCTCTGGCTGATAAATTGCTGAGGTTTGGTAAACATTGCTCTGGATCATTTATTCTTTGTTTTAAATGAGTGTCCCTCAAAACATTACTGGGTCTCATGTATTTAATTTTTTTTAGTAATTTGTAATCTACCCAGAAAGTTTGGATTTTGAAATAGAAGTATAATAAATATTAGTGTTTAAAATAGTAATGGGTTCTTTTTTAGACAGACTTCAATATTACTACTCCTGTCACCATGGAGGTAGTTAAACCTTGGTTGATGGCTCAGTTTTGTATCTGAACTAACTGACAAGTGGATTAAGATATATATGAACCAAGTTGTTGAACTCATAAATAAAAGAAATTTGGGCCAAGCCAAAAAAAACCATCAAAAGAAGTTATTTTGTGCTGGTTATTTTCATTTACAACTCACTGAGTTCAGTGAAGATTATTCCCAAAATAGGTATTTAAAATGTTAATATTTTAAAAAGTGTACATTTGGTAAGTAAATTTCTCTGACTTTCAGAGGCTAAAACAAGTTGTAAGAATCCTAATCAAACTTCCCATATATTAACTTTAGTATTTACTCTTTCTAGGACTTGATTCTCATTCACCAGACTCAGGTAATTTTTTAAAAATAAATTAATTATAATTTATTTTAGTTAATATTGCATGTGTTTGTATAGGCATCCATAACGAGATGTCTGTCATGGCATTTCATTGATGCACTATGACTAACATATCTCTGCCAGGATAGAAGGCCAGGATTTGTGTTGTCATAAGTTTTCATTTTTGCATCGTTACAGAATTTGTACTGTATGTTGTATATATACAGAATAAGCAAGACATACTTTTAATCTAATGCTGTTTTCCTATAAATCTTACTAAAGTTGAGGATGATCTTACCATGGACAAGAAAACTTGTGAATGTGTGACCATAAGCATCCCATTTTATATTATTGAAACCTTTTCTTCTATTTCTGAGTGGCTTGCTTAAATCCAGTCAACTCATCAAGGAAGACTCTACATTTACACATTGATCCACATTTGCTGACCACATTTTAGCTAATGTATCAGACCACAAAATTGGATTATTTGAGTAAATGAAGTTAGGTAAATTAATCCTGGACCAAAATGTCATGTGAATGCAGCCAGTAATTCCAAAGTTGCTGATATGTTTTTGTTATTAGAAACCAGTATAAAGCAAAAAAAAAGAATTGCATTGGTTTAGAAGGTAACTTTTATTTTTAGCAAAAACTCTTGAAAATTTTCTTATAATTGAAGATACAGACTTAAAATAAGCAACTTTAGTATTTTTTTCTTTAAAAAACTGCCATTGTCCTAGGCTTATTTAGATATAAATTAGATATATAAGGTTGGTGGGGTTTTTTTTTTATTACTATTCTTGCCCTCTAGAGGAAACTGCATTTAATTTGGGTCTTCTCCACTGTTATCTTCTCCAAGTCAATAATGTGGCATTTTTAGATGCATACTTTATTCTTATACCCACCGCAAAGATAGATTTAAATGTAGTAATAGCACTTAAACTTATATACCACTTCATGGTGCTTTACAGTCCTCTCTAAGTATATACAGAGTCAGAATATTGCCCCCAACAATCTTTGTCCATGAAAGGATGGAAGGCTGAGTCAACCTTGAGCTGCTTACAATCTAATCCCTGGAGTGAGCAATGAGTTAGCCTGCAGTACTGCTTTCTAAGCACTGCAACACCACAGCTCTTAAATATAGTAATGAAACTACCAAATAACTGTTGCAAAAGATCCATTTATCTTGTTCCTTTTCAGACAGTTACCAACAGAAAAGTAGACCCTTTAGTCTTTAGACTGCCATCATACCAGACTAACTAATGCACATATTCCCCTATCTTCTTCTTAGGAGTGCTGCTATAACTAATGTTTAAGTCTGTGTTTAAGGTCCTCCTGATGAAGCCTTCTTCTAATCCTCAGTCCATAGTAGAGACCATTAGACTTCAGAGATTTCTGATCCAGTATGAAACTGGTGATTTCCATCTTGCAACCCAAGCCTGAGATACATACAAAGTGTGTGGCAGTTTGATGGCAACCATGATGATGAAAGAAAGGCTGGGGAACTTGTTTTTACAAGTCATGATTTTTTTTCTGGTGGGGAAGGTATGCCTGCATTACCCCAAACCCCTTGCTTTTTTGGCAAGGTATTTTTTTTCAACAGGGCAAGGACAGTGAGTCAACACTGAGCTACCATCACTAGAAGCAGTCTTCCAAGCATCCTACTCATCAACTCCATCCCACCCTGTGAATGATTTGAACCATCTGATTTATGGCAGTGTAGAGTAATGTTTCTCAACCATGGCAATTTTACAAAGGGTGGACTTTTACTCCCAGAATTCCCCAGTCAGGCTCCAAGCCACCTGCCTTAAAGTTGCCAAGAAACACTGAAGTAGAGTGATAGAGTGTCCAAGCTTCTATCACCCACCTCCCTGCATCAGGTGCTACAGGTATTCAGGTGAGAGGCTGGTAATTTCCACTAAAACAGGAAAATAAAGCCTTTCCTGTTTTACAGGGACTGCTCTCCCCTTAGCCCACTAGAAAGCTTTCATTGTATCCCCTTTGTTAGATCAGCCATTGCAGGTGATTCACAGGATGGGTACATCAGTTGAAATGGAAAGCCCCAATTTACTTTAGATCAGGTTCTCCTAGATGATTAAATCCACTGATCCAGCCATCTGTCTTATTCCTATTCTCCATTAGAAAAGTGATTTTTGTTTGTTTGTTGGCAAGGACATTTAGCATCTCATCTTTTTTCCACAGAACACTATTAATTGTTAATGAGGTTGAACAGAGAGGAGCTATGAATTTAGGCCGGCATACTTTGAACTGATTCATAGCTTGGACAACAACCCTTTGAGCCAGCTGTCTGAATATGCCCAAAGTGTAGGAACATTCCATTTTTCACACGAGAAATTTCTCCATAAGGGGGAGGGGGAATGAAACAGTTGTCATTTTCCCTGAAAACCTCTAATTCCTTTATTTCAAAGCATATGATAGGTCTTTTGGCATCTCTTTAACTGAGTCCTAATGATTTCCTCAATACTAAGTGATGGGATTTCAGGATTATAAGTGGAATATGGATTTCCCACTTCCAGATAAAGGCTTAGTTCTTTGTCAAGTTATAAAATGAACTGGTGAAGATTCCACTGAGAAGGACTATTTTGAAAAGTCAGAATCGGGGCATTCATAGGTGGGGGGAGGGGGGCGCAAGGAAGGACAAATAATAATACATGTATGATTATTTTATATTCATACTGTCATGTAAGCCATTTTGTTTCATGGATGCTACTTGACAAAACAGTCATTTGTCTCAGCTGAACAATGGTGGTGGGCCCAGCATCCCCTCCTCATTGTTCTTCATAATAAAAGTATGTTCTACAATGCTAATTCATATGTATTTATATCCTTTCATTTTTTACATTGGTGTCACCACTTCTATCCAAAGAGATTTTTTTTTCTTAAAAAAAAAAAAAAGAACTGATTTCACTTATTACATTATCAAAGGATTTTTGTATCAGAAATAAATTTACTTGGATTTCTTTTCACATAAAAGCTTGGAGATCATTTAACATTGGAAGTAGAGAGACACTGAATGGAGACACTAGCAGCTCCTCTCTTGCAGCAAAAGGCTTTCGAAGTGTCCGGCCAAACCTACAAGAAAAGAAATCACCAACTCAGGTAAACAGGGAGCTGTATACAGTCACACTTCCACTTTCAATGCTATGTTTTCAGAAACAGAAGGGGTTATTCATTCCTTTGGATCAATGTTTCCTGGATGCTATCCTAACCTAGCTTATATTAGTCAGCCATACGTACGTTTGACATACATTTACATCTTGGCTGTATGATAAAAATTATGCTACTTATACACAGTTTGTTGTTGTGTCCTACTCTAAATTAGTTTCCTGGAGTAAAGCATCCAGCTATGAAATGTCCTTCGAGTTAAAAATACTGGTAGATACCCCTTTTTCTAAAAATAAATAAATAAATCCTGCTACATCTTATCTGACTTGATGTCTTCTAATAGGCATTAAACAGAAAGCCCACCATTCTTAATCTTGAAAATGTGACACTTGTTGTTCAGCACCAGGTTAGGAGCAGTTGTTCTACTGAAATAATGTATGCTTTAAAAAAAAAAGAAAGAAAGAAAGAAACAGTTTGGAGTTTCTGGACCTAAAAATTCCAGAGAAATTCTGTCTCTGTAGTCTCCTGCTCAGAAGTGGGCCACAATTTGGAAGTTTTCCTGGACATTAGAGGAATAAGGAAGAACTGGCAGTTATAGCTAAGACGATTTTTACACAAGTACACCTTGTTTGCCAATTGTGGTCTTTCCTGGACCAAGAGATCCTACTTACAGATCCTAGTCATATTTCATTTAGTTATTTGTTCTGACCACCAAGTCACGCCTGGAAGACAGATGTTAAGTAGAGTCTGTTTATTGCCCACTTAACACAGTGTCAAATGGTCCACCAATGGTGCCAGTGAAGCTCTGCCACAGCCCCCAGTTTTCACAGCCTGAATTCCCCAGTCCCAGAAGTCCTAGCCGATCCACAAGGCAAAAAGGGAAGTAACGATACCTACAAGTACCAAGTCTGCAACACAAGTCAGAGTTCCAGAAATCAAAGCACAGTCCAAGAGTTTGAAGTCAGAGAGCCAATGCCAAAGTCACAAGTTAAGTCCAAAGTTTGGCTAAGAAACATGATCCAAGATTCACAAAGCAGTATTCACAAAAGCCGGGAAGGTGCACATCAAAGCAAACAGGTGTTCACGACAAACAGACCTTTCCCCAGTGTCTGGTTAAATCACTTCCCCAGGTGTTTCTTGTGAGGAAGGGAGGGGCTTCCTTGCAAGCAGCCTCGCAGACCTCCTCTCTGCCTCACTGCACTCTGCTCTCCCTGCCTGCGGATCAGGCAGGGGAGGCAGCTGTTCCTCATCAGAGTTATTCTGAACCTTATCATCTTCGCTGGCCCTCTGTAGCTGATCCGCTGATGCAGGTAGCTTTCTGTCTGGTCAACTGTCCCCCACCCCATTGCCAGACAGCCCTGGACTGCCTTGGCCTCAGCCCCTGGACTTTTCACTCATTTGAAGGGGACCATGCCATCCCCAACCGATGGTCCCGATTCAGTCCCCTCCAAGGAGATCTGACAAAGCCATGACATTATTCTAACACGTTATAATTCGGCTACCCTTGAAAAACAACTAAAAACTTTAGTTGCTGCAGAATGCAGTGACCTGGGTAGAAATGGATGTATCTCAATATATTCAAATTACCCAGGTGCTTTACAAGCTACATTGATTACAACTGGCTTCCAGCTATGGTTCAAGGTGTAGTTATTATTCTTAAGGTCCTACATATCTTCAGACCTGGTATCTAAGGGACCATATTCGCCTATATTCCTCTTCCAAACCAAATAGGGACAATTCAGGGCAGGTCTTGGGTCCACAGAATTGTCACCTGACATGCCTCAAAGGTGGGCATTCTCACTCTTTCAACTCTATCAAACTTTGCTTAGAAGAAATTCTACCCACTTTATTTTTCCAATGCTTCAGGAAAAAAAATGGAAGACTTACTTTCATCATGTACAGGAGATGGGTACTCTTTAATGGGAAGGAGGCTTGCAGGATTATGGTATTTGTATTTGTTGGAACTTATTTTTTATATGTACTTGAGGTTTGGGAGGTAGTTTATTTGCATTGTTAGCTGCCTACAGTTTGCAGGATGGGCAGCATACAAGAATTGTTAAGTAAATCAGTAAATTAATAATTTGGGGGGATATGTGCATGCACACACATACAGATTTGTTTTATTAGTTTTATTTGCATGATCTATCCCATGCATGTGCATTTTTCCTCTATGCTTTAACAGTTCTGATAACCAGTAGTTTTGCTCTAAAAGTAAAATGTTTTATATCCATGTTGTTACACAGAAAGAGTTTTTGATGCCATCGTATCTGCAGTAAATTAAGTAAAAGCTACATTTGACTCAATGTCACATTTTTAAAAGTAGAGATGTAAAATGTCAATAAATATGTGCTAATTTTCCATTAGCAAAATAAAATGTTTTCTGGAATATTGTATTTTGCAGCTTGATTCAAGAAGCGCTAATTGCTATGCCAACGTTTACGTTTATTAAGTGCCTAGATTTTAAAAGACAATTCTGTTTACTTTCCTGCTAACGTTTTGCTTTGTCTCTTTCTCCTGTAATATTCTTTTGTTGTGTGGATGCTTTTGGCAAATAAGGCACCCCCCCTACCCACTAGGAAAAAATGTTTTGGTAGATCTGGAATATCTAATGTGAAGAAGACTGGAAGTAACTCCTGTTCCATAACAACCAAACAAATTAAGCCGTTTTCTGATGGGAACTACTCTACTAACAAGGAGTTTCTTCAGAGGACAATTTATTCTAAAAAGTCTAACACAAGAATGTCTTGCACACAAAAAAGCACAAAACCACTGGTCTCGGTTTCTAGCACAAAAACAATATCTGGCATTAGAACTATTGTTCATCAAGGCCACAAACAGCCTCAGAAACGTAGAGTTTCTACCCTGAAATTAACTCAGGCACAGAATGTGTCTAGTAGTAGTGTTCCTTCTCATACACAGCAAATACCTGAGCCTGGTGGTGCCTCAGCAGCTCCATGGAGGTCTGCCTCACCTGCCTGTAACCCCGTGCCTGAGATACACAAAGCATCTCTCTCCATTCAGATAGCCCCTACCCCTGATCGTAAAGCAGCACCTGAATGCCAACATCATCCATCTAGATTTTCTCCAGACCATTCAAAGATGCCACCAGAAAGTATGCAACAAATGTCTGATGCTCCTGCTGCGCAATGCCATGTGGTATATTATATCTTTATCTCTTTCTCTGTCTTTTTACTTTTAGCTCTTTCTTGTATCACCTAACTCTTTTCTCTTTAGCGTACTCACATGGTTCTGACAATGACCACAAATTCTGGGTAAAACTACCTGTCACAATAATGAAATCTGTCCCATTATTATTATTATTATTATTATTATTATTATTATTATTATTATTATTAACAAAACACGACAGTGTACATAGCAAACAAAATAACTATGCTGGGTTTCGTATCACAAATCACCAGTCGAATTAGTATTAGTAGGTATTAGTATTACCAAATGCATTTAGAGTCCATTTTAATCCAAGGAAAGAAGAGAGACAATGAATATAAAATGTTCAAGTCATATAAAGAGAACATTTTCCTGCATTCTAGATAGGGCAAAGTTGTGATCAATAGAAAGGAGACTCCACCAAAAAACAGATCATAAACTTTCTGATTATCACAAATTGGCAGCAGTGCCAATACTGAAAGGAAGTGCTCAGAATCAAAAGAGACATCCCTGGTCTCCTATGCCTTCATGGAAAATTCATCTATCCCTTTCACACACAGTTATTTGTATTTAAAAGTTAGGAGACACTAATATGGCATTTCATTAAGAAGAAAGATTTTGTGCTGAACTAAAAAGATCAATGACATTTTACAGAAATATTTGGTGTAGGAGTATTTTGAATAGCACTTCCTTTTGCTATGTAAGATGTCTAGGTCCTGTATCTGCACTATTAAAAGGGACACACTCTCATCTTGCTCCTTTTATTGCACTGAAGTAATAAAAGAGAGGAAGGCAGGTACACATACATTTTTGACATTTCTCCATAAAGTTTTCAATTCTCCAGGGAAGGTTGCAAACTGAATAGTATTTTATGTATTGATTTTGAATGAATTGGAATTAGCTGTTAATAGCACACTAGTGGGCATATTTTTGCTTAAGGCTGCTGCAGTAGTTAGTTATTTATACATCACTGAGAAAATACCAGACTAACCAATACAGTATAACTGATTAAAACAGGATCATTTGATAGGTCCAGTGGTTGGCACCCTTCTTATTTTAAAATTAATACTTTCTGTTAAAAGTGTACTTAATAATGTCTCACTCTGAAATTTACTATTTCTCAGAAGAGTAATTCACAGCTAAATGGAAATAATACATAACAAATTTCCATGAACAAAGGAATTTAAGATTAATGGTTAATTAGTTATATACCATTGAGTCAGACTCAGTGCCTGGTGACTTCATGGGGAAATGCTTGTCGTATTAAATTTTTTCAAATTAACTCATAGCTGTTCCAAGATCATTCCGGTAATCTCTTCAATCCTGTTCATTTATGTGATCTGTTGACTTCTATAATTCCTCTCTCAGTCTTCCAGTCATGATATTTTTTAAGTTTCTGCTATCTAATTATCATATCAAGTGAGTGGTCAGTTTTTATTGGTTCAAGGCTGGTTGACTTGATCTTTCTGAGGTTTATGTGGCTCTTAGCAGCTGAATTCAGAGTCATAATTCATAGGTTTCCATTTTTTTTTACAAATTCTTTCTTAAATCTCCAGATTTCATATCTTTCAACTGGAAAGAACATTGCTGTAACTAATATTTTATTGCAGTTGTCTCCAACTTTCATGTTCTTGTCTAAGTTCCTTATTTCATTACTCCAGAAAATTAATATCTACATCTTTAGCATGCTTTCTATCTATATTCTTGAGCCCCACAAAATCAAACTATCTACTATGTTTCTTTACAGATTAAATTTACTACCAGTATTTAGTATTAACCCAGATTTTTCATTTTCCATTTTCACCTTCAGAATTAAATCTCCTGTCTCCTTTACTTTCAGCTGACAAGGGTTCCCATCTCCATAGGAGAGTCAATTTAGATCCCAGTCAAGCTGTTCAGGAAAGTGAAGGCAACTAAATTGATGTACCAACTGATAGAGAAATGTTTCAATGAGCAAGAAGGGATTAATCTAAGCAGAACGTTAAATTGAGCATTTTCATTATGCCCTTTCTCTGGGAATCTGGTATGAATAAAATACCATATTCCGTGGCTCACACAGTTAACCAAAAAAGCAAGTGAACATATTTTTACTTATATTCCCTGGAGAATTTCATTCCAGTGAAGAGCTACTTTTAGTGCTTTTCAAATGATGCCCAGGTTTGCAAAACTCTTTTCTTCCCCAAAAATTCTTAGTAAGGCACACATAACTTGCAGCACCATTGGTAGCATAAAAAAAACCCCAACACTTTTGGGCCAGGCTTCATTTTCTTACATTTCCATTCTGCTGCATAAAATGAAATAGGTTTTAAGATTTATTATCCATAATGGACTGATGAGAAAACCTAAGGAATTTGTAGGATTCATCATAGTTTCATTTGATACCAATTGCTGGAATCACTTATGTACTGTATATTTCTCCACTTCAGTATACTATGACTCACCACTTTCCAATGTCCAAGTTATAAACTCAGCAATTGTGTCTCCCAATCAAACATAACATTCATTAAGAATTTCTGAATTTCTGTTCATTATGATAGGATGGGCACATGCCAAAGTGTGATAAATTTCAACACTATTTCAGTAAAATTGAATCAGTGCCCAAGGTCATTCATCCATCTGAGAATTTGTCATTATTAAATTTTAAGCTTTTCATATGTGATATAATATCTGTTATATTTTTACATCCTGCTTTGGTTCAAAGATACTGAAGTAGGAATTATTGGTAGGCATTGGTAGATAACATCTCCATGGCATGAATCAAAAAAAGATAAAATGGCAAAAAAACCTGTGTACAGGTAATTGCACTTATATTCTTCATGTAAGAAGAAAATGTAGAGCACAATGTATATCACATAGGTAACATGGGAAACAAAATTAGGAAACCATATAAATTAAGGACAAAATAAATATGGAATGGTTTTAAATTTTAATGGATTTTTAAAAGTGCATATTGTTTTATGAAAAGGACATTCTGTACAATTCATCATAAGAATATAATAATTTACACATGTGTATAATATGAACATTGCTGGTTGAATACTGTGCTTACGCTAGTTTGGGTAACTATTGTAATGTTATAAGCACGTTCCTTTAAAAAATTCACTATTGCAGGGTTTTTACAATCAACTGAAGTAGTGTTTGGCATACAAGCCAGGGCTGATGGGGCTCCTCCGTGTCATCTTAGTGACAATAACAGAGTTCAAGAACATTTCCAAATAATCTATCTCATCCTATAGAAGGGCATTGCATTAAAAAGAAGGAAAACCACTCTTACTTAATCAGCAGCTAAACCATTCATGAATTGTCTGACTAGTTGAAAAGGAGACAGATCACCCATGGCAAAACATATAGAAAACCATTAAATTTTGCACACAATTTTAGAAGGATACATTTGGTTAGCTACATATAAGGAAGGGAATATCATAACATAACATGTCTTTGTGTCACAGAATTCCTATGTTTGAATAAATTCATTTAAGTAATGTTTATTACTTAAACTTTATTACTTTATTAGCTTGGGAAATTTCTGGGGATACGGAGGTTTCTTCTGCTAAGATATTACATATGGAGCTATGATAACCAGTAGAGTTTTTGCAATAACAATTTGTAAGTTTATTTTCTGCATTCCTGAATTGCATTGTTCATTGGCCCCTATGTAATTTTTAAATCCCATAATTAGTATGGAAGTTTTCCAGGTAGTTTTATGGCTTATCATTGGCATGATTATTTAGAGAAGGTACCTCTTCAATTTGGATGTACAGTAAAGGAAGTATCATTCAGCTGGTTAAATAGTTCAGCTTTTGAGAGAGAAAAAACCATAATTAAGAATACAAGATATTCATCCAACAGTCACCCCCACAAGTTATTTGTATAGGCCATTTTCCATAATTACCAAAAGCATACTCATAACATCTCCCAGTCATTACTGAAGTGAAATAAAGGCTGTCATCATTATTTAATTGCATTCTAATAAACTATATTTTAAAAAATTGAGTTTATCTCTTTACAAGGTATTTTTACCCATGTCTGTGTGTGTGTTAAAAAGATGAATTTTGTGTGCTGCTTTATTCTATACATTAATTAACAAAAATCAGTTCACTTTCTTCATCTTAAATTCTTATTTGTGTCTTGTTCTTTTGAAGCAAGGCCAGCAATGTGGTGTCATTATTTACCTTGCACTATACTGTGAGTGTGAACTTACGTTAAAATTGGAGATTAATTGTCCACAATATCTGTAAACCGTTTGTATTGGTATACTTAATTTTGCTACTTATGAAAACTTAGGCAACCTGATAAATATATTTCAATATAGATATTTAGAAAAACAACACTCTATGAACTGCCCAAATAGATTCTGTATATTCTGAATTAGGTTTTGGACTTTGGTGTCGATAATTACCCAAGCAATAATCTTACAGCAGAGTGCTGTCTTTTTTATATGTAAGACTTATGACTTAAAGTGACTGTTATCTTACCTTTTCATGCAAAGGTAATTTCCTATGAAGATGATCCATATTTTAAGATGCCAGGAGTTACTGAGAGCGAGTTGGGTGGCCATATAAATTTTCATAAATAAAAGATGCATTGCTAGGAAACAATTACAGATATCATTTGCTATGTGTTACTATGGTCCAAGCAGACCTTTTTTGCTGATCTCTTCCCAACAGGTATTATATACTATAAGAAGTAATAAACTTCATAATGTTTTGAACATTCTATTGTAGGAAGTCATTTGTATTCCCAGAGAGTTAGAATCTAAACTGAGCAAAGAAAGTTGAAGTATCTCTTTATAACACTAATCAAAACGAGCTTTTTTGTAAGAAACGGAGGACAACTAAAAGCCCACCTTCTAGCTACCTACATACTTTTCAAGGAGAAAAAGTATACATCTGGGAAGTTAACAGGAAGGAAATTCCATGAAATTTGCAGCCCCCTCCTCACAGAGAGGGTAGGAGATAAATTGGAAACACAAAAGGAATTCCTAACTAACTGCCATCAGATTATGTAATGTTTATTAATCCTTTGAAATCTTCTGAGAACTTAAGGGATAGTTTTATTCAAAATAATATGGTAGTGAGCTATTACTGCCTATTTCAATATATTTGATCAGCTTCCCAGACAATCTAACCCACAGCCCCAGTATAATATTTCTTGAAGGTCTTACAATCAGACAAAAATCAGATCCAGCCCTGTTCAGCTTCCCAATGTTAAGATCTGCTAGGTGCTGCCACCTGCTGAGATTATATCTCAGGAAATCTATAGAAATATATTATAAAAACATTAACAGTATGCTGAGCGCTTTTTTCATGTAGCCTGAAAATGTAAACAAATCACAAGCCACAATAAGTCAGAATTTCCAAGGATTTCAGTTTAGATGAGCAAATGCACATTACTTAATTCCTTCCACTCTGTTCCTTCTGTGCACTGAAGGGACAAAACAACAAGCAGAAATTGATGCTGGGGTAACTCTTATCATTTTATTGTCCAAATCAGGATACCTGACCTGTATCTCCCCAAATCAGACATGGTTTATTAGGAAGGGGATAAATAAAAGAGCCCAGTTAAGATTGTCTTTCATCAAACCATAGGATTCAGAGATCAGTTAGAGCAGGGGTGTCCAACCTTGGCAACTTTAAGACTTGTGGACTTCAACTCCCAGAATTCTGGGAGTTGAAGTCCACAAGTCTTAAAGTTGCCAAGGTTGGACACCCCTGAGTTAGAGGGACTGTGAGATTTTCTAGAGCAGCCCCCTAGCCAAAGCAAGAGGCATCTTTCCTTATGTCAATTTTCCATTCATCATGGAATGATAAAGATTAACCTGTTTCTAGTTTACATGACTTTTTCTTTCTGTTCCTGTAGTTTCAGTCTTGTTTCTTTCACTATTCCTTTCACTCCTTTCCTTGTATCTATCCCACAATCAAAACAATTCATCACCCTTGTATCCTTCATTTCTTTCAGTTGTTCATCATAAAGTATTACATCAATCATTTAAAATTTGTATCAATTCCTTGTGGTGTATACATATGAGTATATATATTCTTAAAAAACTTTTTAAATAAAAATTACTCACTTGACATTTTTCATTCATTTAGGAGTTTCCTAAAATTTTCCTCTGTTGTCTCATTCCCACTCATCAGTTCATTTTACCTAACAAATAATTTTCTCCTGAATCATATTCATTCAGAATGCTGCATAATTGCACATTCATATTTTGTTCTTCCATTATAAACATTTACTGGATAAGCAACTATAATCACAGTCTGTAAATTATTTTATTGCATCCTAACAACCAAGATGATATCAATACATACTTTATGATATGCATTTCAGTCCTTCTATTCATAATTAAATTTACATCTGTTTCCTTGCACGAATTCATGAATATTCCATAAAACCAGATTACCATTCAAATCTGTTATCTGATTCCCCTTAATTTCTTCCATTGTTTCCTCTTGTATTCCAGTCTCCCTCTTCCATATGTTCATCCCCAGAGAGGCCAATAGATGTTCACCTCTACATCCATTTTGGCTTTCATCAGTCAAGGTTTCTTTATTCCAAATAACATTTTAGTAAGATAGAATTGATTTAGTTTAAGTTAATAGTCTTTGTTAAACCCATGCTTCGTGTAGCACTCTTTTAATAAGGACAAGTCCTACCAATGGCTAGCTTTAATCCAAGCATGTGCATGTGATGTTATGTTATACAAGCTGGGGCCTCTAATCTAGAGATTATCATGCAAACCAGCATGCTGTTACTTTCATCACCAGCTATGATAGCGGTACCCATCTAGATGTTGCTGAACTACAATTCCTATCCAGCCCAGCCACCATAGGTATAAGAGGTTTTAGAATATGGCGAATTGTAATTAGTAATATAATACTGTCATAGCTTTCCCATCTCTGGAGTATGGCATCTCAGTTACATTTGTATTCTTTATTTCCTCTTTTACCACTTCAGGTGTTGAGGAAAGCTACATTTGTGTTAATACTAAATGATATCTTTGCTGTCCATTCACCATTTCTATGAGAATATGTATTTCTTGATTTTATAAAATGTTATTATATATAAAAGCTTGTATTTCTTGAAACAATCTAACGGTTCCTAAATTTCGGGAACACGTTATAACAGAAAATAAAAAGCAGTTTCCTATCTATGTATGATTCATAGTGTGTAAGTAATAACTAAACATATTCTTGCTGATGGCATCTACCAAGGGGTCCTTCACCTGCCACTGTATGTATTTCCTTAGTACAGACTCTGAGAATAAAAAATTAATATCAAGGTGCCAGTTTGTTTATTCATTCCCACTATAATATCTATTATTTAATTACATTATGTAAATTATAGGCCTTTATCATGGTTTATATCATTAGGATTCTTCATTGCACCCTTCCAGTTTAATATTGGCTTCTAAAATTCTCTACACTTTCCTTAGACAAAACAGAGTGTATATAAAAAGCACATACACAGTGAAGTATAATTATTTTGATGAGTCAAATGTATGTATAGTAAGCCCTGTAATCATATGCTAATTTAATATGGATAGATCCTCCCTAGCAATTTCTTCAGAGAAGAAGACAAAGTAAAAAGGTCCCTCATCCCTGTTTTCCATCTCCTTCCCAAAGAATCATTTCCTTTAGAAAGGGAATTTCTTCATGTAGAAATTAGATCCCTTTTCTAATAATTGTTTACTAGAGCAATTACTAATGACTCAATTACAAAAGTAATTTTTCTATTATGCACTTATATAGCCTTTTCTTCCATGATATTAATATTATACACACATCTATCCAATAACAGTTGATTTTGAGTCAAGCCATTTAGACTTCAGGAGTCTTAGGCTCATACAAAAATATATATGAGTTGAGCATGAAATTTAGGATTGGGGCTTTTGCTCTTGGGAATCTACACTTCCAAATGATTTATATTTTAATAATGGAAAAGATATCTATGTGAAAACTTTAAGCTAGTGGAAACAGCTTGTTCCATGTTATCTCCTTCCATATAGTCTTAATAAGCAGTAAAACCATTCGTCTTTATTGATTATTTAGTGAAAACTTTCATGAGCTGAAGGGGGAGTGAAATCAGGGGATTTCATTTTGCCCCTAGTGTTACAAGCAGCCTTTTCTTGCCTCCACAACCCTCATCCAGTTATTGAGATGGAATTTGAAGAGGAGAAACCTGTATAGGTATACATGCTTCTCTTTTTTTCCCTCCCATTTATCCAGATTCAAATGTCAGGAGGCCACTATCAATGGCACAGTCTTATTTCTTCTTCATGGCATAAACTTCTCCTATACATGAAAGGGATGAGTATCATGATCCTTTTTGCCATTGAGTCTATAAGAATGGCATGTAATTTGTACACACCTAGTGTACAGTCCATTGCTTTCATGCCTTGAAACCATTGTACAGGAAGTCCTGTAAGAACTGGGGCTTGTTTTGTTTATTTCTATTAAAAAGGAGGTGCAATTGTGTGTCTTTTAAAAAGTCCCTCTAACTTTAGTGATAAGCTTAGACTTAATTTAAATAAAACCTCAAACAATATAAGCTTAAGAAATTAATATAAATGTTTATTCAGTACACTGTAGTTTCTGGCGTTGCTTCTATTACTGCTTGACAAATTCACTTAGTATGTTTTCCATCTAAAATAAACTTTATTTTCTTTTCTATCTGATTTTTATTTTCAAAGCTTGGAAAAAGCCACACACAGAGTGTGTGTCTTTTTTTCCTTTTTGTATACTCTTGAACACAACTAAAGGAAAACATTTTTAAAAATCAATTTTAGTAATATGTTTTCTTATGTTTTGATTGTTTGTTTTTTTCTCAAAATTCAGCTCGGAAACCAGAAAGTGACTGCCAATGTGATGGAGGTAAATGCTTCCCAGACACACAGACAAATATCAGCTGAAGCTGCACCGTTGCCTCCCTCACCACCATTTCCTCCTCCTCCTCTTCCCATGGTTCCGGTTCACCAGCCCTCTCTCTCACCTGACAGTGGCACCCATGCAACATCATTTCCTTTACCACCATGTGATGATTTCTGGCCGTCACACATTTATAGAACCCCAGCCCTTTCACCGTTCTCCTATACGTACCCCTTCCTTGTACTCTGCTCCACAAGACTGAAACTGACTCTATTGTGTCAGCCATGAGTGAGTTCTCCTCTCAGCCAGTGAGCGAGTTCTCCGCTGCCATGCTAGATGAGCTACAGAGCTGTAACTATACTACTGACTGTTCTGAAACACCTTCCCCAACCTTGAGCCAGACGTCTGCTGCGTCTGATGGCACCACCTTAACCTCCACTGCTGCCAGCTCTCATGTAATTATCCTTCCTTTTTTCTCTTCCATTCTGTTCAACCGTACTGTCAAAGTGGAAAAGAAGCTAGCTTTGGTTTGTCACCTCATTTAATTAATTGGTATGCTGATTATTGGTGATATCTTGTTCTGTAAATATTTTGAACTTTTTCCATGCAATAAGGAATACAGTGGGAGGAACATAATTTCAATATTCCAAAATGATGATTTTTACAATATTAGTGGAATAGAAAACAGTTGTTTCTTTATCTCGTCAATTAGAACTAGGAGGTTGCACTTTGTATCTTGATTGACAACTTGCAAAGGGAAGGCCAGTGAAGTAGACTGGATGTTACTGAAGTGTTCAACAGGATTTTTTCTGTGTGTTGAGGTTGAAGGAGGTGTGAAAAGGCATTAAGGCACTATTTTGAGAAAACCATTCCTATTTGGGGGTAATACTAAAGGATGAAAGTTTAGGGCACCCATTTGGGCTCTCAATCTTCCAAACATCTCAGCGCAAAAAAAGACAAAAACAACAGTTTTGTCCACTTTGTGTACTCTGGGGAATGCTAATGGGTCCTGATGTCAACTGTTGCAAACGCTATTCAAATGTCTTTTTCTACCTGGGAAATGCATAAAGTTACCTTCTGTCACTGGTGTGCTATCTCGTTCCAATTTGCAGTTTGCAAAGATTGAATTTTGATTGTAATAGAAATGTGATGGGAGCTTAAATTGCACGTGCACACCTGTACAAACATGTTCAGTTTGTAATTTTTTTGTCTTGTAATTCTGAGCTGATTAGCTTCCAAAATTAATCTGCTTGGAACCTGCTTCAGAAAATTACTGCAATTATGGTTTTGAGCTGTGTGTGTTAGTTTTCTATTGATGGGAACTCTTCCCACATCCCATATCTTCTGGATTCCTCATCCCACTCCAAAAACCAAAGTATCTTGGTTTCTCATTTCCTCCCACACCCAACTTTCTTCCTCGCCAACTTAAGGTACAAACATGATCAGCTTGGCTTGCCTCTTCCTTCAGGGCATTAATGTTTGCAAGATTGGCTTTGTCTAAAAAGGAGCAATAGGTGATGCAAAAAGGGGGAGGTGGGAATATCAATTGGGCCTCTTGCCAGGTGGGGTCTGCGTGGAATGAGCATGAAAAGTTTATAATTGCTGTATACATTTCAGTGTCAGATTTTCACGTGAACACACCCTTGTTCCAATTGCTTCAACTATCCTGAATAAATCTACTGGCTATAATTCTTCAGTCCCTCATATTAAAGAGGAATAGAGTTTAGAATATAAGCAAGTCTACAGCATGATGCTAGCCTATATGAACAGAATCTTTAGGCAAGTTACAAACAAATGAGAAAAAAGTGAGAAATCTGTATATGCCCTTAAAATGGAATTTAAAATATTTGAAGAGCACAACTATTACCTGTAATCGCTGACTGCATAAAATTGATTCTAAATCACATTTCTCCCCTAAACTAACACTGCCCTTTATATGTGTGCTTGTGTGTGTGTGCATATGTGTGTGTCAGAAAGAGAAAGAGACAGAGAAATAAAGTATAATTTTACAATTCAATTTCTGCAGTGCATGTGAGTTCTTTAATTATATATTTAAAAATGAAGAAAGATAATAGACTAAGCCCAAATTCTTACATAAAAGCAAACAAATCCTAAATGGGTGATAAACACATTTATGCTATCACCAAACTAAGAAAAAGATGAGGCATATATCCAATAAATGAATAAATAAAATTTGTTACCAGGTTAGAACAACAACTTGAGCATAGGATCTATTCCTATAACTTGCAGGCGTTCTGTGTATTTTATAGATGACAGCTGTGTGTCTGGTATAAACTAGTGCCTAATCTGCAGGGTAAAGTGAGAAAGTCAATATTCTGGTTCGATCAAAGCAGTTCCTGTTTATGTTTCAATGCAGCAAATACATTTATAATAATAATATACAAAACAGAAAGATGTCATGGCCAGCATCCTGTTTTTGACAATGACAAATATTCTACTTAATAAAACAAATTATTACAAATGACAGAAGTTTATATTTTAAATGACCCATCAAAAATTAAAACAGTATTAACCATGATATGGATCCTTGAAAGTTTTTAGGTTAGCCCAGTATTTGTTGAAAAAACACCTATCATTTACCAGAATAGCTGAGAGTAGAGGCAATTGCTTCCAATGAAGTATATTTACATTGGAACATTTAAATATCTGTATACCTGCTGTAATTCATCTTTATCATGCACCATAGTACAAGTTCAGTTCCATCCACACAGATAGAGCAAAGTGACTCATCACTCAAAGTAATCTTCCTTCGGTTCTTCCTGATTTTTAAAAGGATTTTGAGACCCAAAGTTCGTCTGGATTTTTTTTTAAAAAGTAACCAATTAATGTTGAAAAAGTTGCAGCAGTGTAATCATAATAAACGAAAGCATATCTAAAAGGATGGTCCTCTTTTAAAAGAAAATGGTAGAAATATTGACAGAATTCAGCAGGCAGTGTATAAATTCTTATTAAAAGGTACATATTGTTCACTGATATCAATGGTCACTGTTTTTTGTCACTTGAAAGAAATTTGGTTATTTTCTTTGGATATTTTGGGTTGGAAGACTCCAAATGAATACTAGTAAGAGTCAGGTATAGGGAAAACAAAAATTAGATCTTTAGGGGAATGGAGGGAACAATTTTGACTAGCCCGTTCATTTTGTAAGCAGTTGTTCAAATGCTACTTTAACTGAGGCCTTTGTGAAACCTAATGTAATGCAGTGATTAAGGTGTATTAAAACTGAGAAGATCTAGGTTCAGCTCTGTTCTCAGCCATAGAAACTTACTGAGAAACTAAGAGCTAGTTGGTCTCTCTCAGACCAGACTCTTGCACAATTCTTGCTCTAGGATAAAAGCAAAGAGAGATCTAATTCCTATGTAATAGCTTTTAATAAAAAGTAGGTCTCACATATAACAAACTAATTTCCCCATAATTCTAGGAATGATTATGGATTGTAGTTAAACACTAGAAAACTGGCTATTGTTATGAATTTTAGCATTCTCTCCTTCATCTTTTATGTTGATGGTGGATTTCCGACTTCAGAGGTTTATTGTATATGACTGGATGTGATTTTGGGATTTTGTTTTTGTTTTGTTTCTTTCCTCTCAGGCTCAGATAACAGTGAATGGGAATTCTAGCTTGGCAACCAGCCCAATGAGTTACTTTCAAAGGCCTTTCTCCCCTTCTTTGGCATACTCTCCACCAGTCTCATTCACTTCAAGCTCCTCTCTCCTGCAACAGAGCAGGACAATGGGTGAGTTTGGAATGCAAATAAAAATGACACCTTTCTTTAAATCCATAAGCATTATTCACTTGATTAATAAGAATGTAAATTGAAATTATACCAGAATTCCACCACACAGAGTGCTTCATAATTCAGTTTTCTCAAAATAGGTTCCAGCTCTTGTTGCTATTTTGTCATTGCACATACTGATAATGGTAGCAGAAAAAACCCACACACTGCCACTTTTTTCTTAGCTTCCAAATGACTTAATAATATTAGCCTTCTGAACAGAAAATTTGACAGCAGGTTTTTCTGGCAGCCATAATATTGTTCTACAAAAATTCCTGGAAAGAAAGACTATCTAGATCATTTGGAATGAAAAATATGTAAATTTGGTCAGTGAGAGTGAAAGTGTACTTTTGTGAAACTTTTAAATATATCATATTGTACCATGCCACCACAGTGTAAATTGAAGATTCTAGGTCCATGTATCCTTTATGAATTTATGACAATTGTTGTCCAATCGTTGTTTTTTAATTGTTGAAATTAATTATTTCCATTGGATTAAATATTTCTTTATAAAGCTGAACTTAAATCAAGTGCAGCATATTGTAGATTGTTTAAGTAAAGCTGCTGAGTCCATGCCACAAAATACTGTAATATGAACTATGTACATTTGCATTTCTAGAAATTTCATTCTATTGAATCCTGGCCTACATAATTTTCTTTTAATATTCTCTTCCATCAATTGCTGTTCTCTGTCCCCAGTCTTTATCATAATGATTGTGTTTTCTTCTTTTTAAAATCCTTTTTTTTTTTTTTTGGGGGGGGGGGGGGGGGGGGATATGCAATCTATTAGGTGTTATCCAGAACAGCTTTCAACAAAAAATCAGGTTTGTTCATAAACATTTACATTCCTTTCATTCCTGGGAACATTTAAAAACAGTCCAGTTTACTGATACTTTGGGTCATTAATTTACCACTGATAAATTAAAATGTTCTTTCCCCTTCCCTAAGTCAGCAGAAAATCAAACAAGCATAAAATGTAGCAATTCCAATCTTGCTTACTGCCATTGTTCTCAGTCATTGTCATTCATCTCTCTTATTTCCAAAGCATTTGGTGACAAAATTTACCTGATTTATATACCTTGATTCTGTCCTTCAATTTGAGTCAGAGAAGGGAGAAAATATTTTGATATTTTGAAAAAAGTGAGGAAGGCATGCTTGTGTTGTGAGTGCACAAATGAGAACATGGCCAAAGAGATTTTTTTTTCTACCTCTTTCTGCTTCACCTGCTAGAATCCATGTTGTCTTCCATTCAACTGTCAGTTTTTATCCTCTAAATCCATATTCTACTGTACCTCACTGAACCTTCATGGTTAGATTTGAGGTACTCATGCCTTTTGATTTTTTTTTTGTATTTTCAATCTGCTCCTCCCTTTTATGCATTATAATTTAGAGCTTTAAATATGACAAAAAACATTTGAATATATATATTTAGAGATGTATGTCAAAATATAGTACAGATGTAATGAAAGGTCTCTAAATAACCTTCCTGTTACGAACAGGATTTCTGAGTTGTTGTTTTGCTACAGTTATGATAAAGCAAAGGATTAAATTCTTCCTTCAGCTTCTGAAAATGCCTTTTCTATCTCCCTACAGATTATATTTACATTTTTAAAAGCCTATAGATTAATTGAATTTATACATTTGATGTTATGTGTGGTAATGCCTTAAGCTCTTATGGTGAATGCAGACAGTTTTTGCTATTCTTGGGCTGTAGAAACACATTCCTTTTTTTCTCTAAATTTAGTATTATGCATATTTGGAAAAAAGCCCAGATATCTAGATATTTTATCCATGCTAAATCTAAAATGCTTTACCATATATGCTCCTAGCTATCTTATTTATAGATTGCAAATTTTAATAAACAAAAGATCTGATGCCATGTATTAATAGCCTTACTATTGATTTAATAGTTCAACTATAAACATTAATTAAATATTACATACTTCAAATCAGATAAATAGATTGGGTTTCCTTTAGAACTACGAGTGATGTTGCCGTAGATCAACAAGATACTCAGATTTCAAAAATTGAATAAGAATAGTACAATTAAATCTGAACATTAACAGTATACTGCCATGGCTGTTTCTGTGCTGATAGGTCTTTAGTTTTAGTCATCTGTAAAATGAGAATGTTGATATTTTGCCTTTGATCAAATCTATTCTGCAATTTTGAAAATTTTCTGTGGGAATATGTAACTCAGATTTAATTTTGTATTTTTAAAAAATTAGCGAGATAGAAAGAGAGGGAGGGATTTAATATTTTTTACTTGCCAAGAGTCCCCCTGTGAGGGAAATGCGTTTAATTTCAATAATGTGATAACTAAATAAATAAATTCATTTAAACTATTTGCAAGAACCCTTAGTAGCAACTGCTCTGCCTGTTGAGATTTCTGTTCAAAGTAAACTTTCATTATTTTGACTTTATAATTACAAAATGTCTTCCCCTTCCTACTATTCAAATTTCCATTGGTCCAGAATTTTTGCTGCGTCTGACCATTATGATTTGTAAACAGTGATTTATGGATTAGAACTGAGCCAATTGTGTTTTACGATGAAATAAACTAGTGGTGTTGTGAACTTAAGGTTACCAGTTTCAGGCTGCAAAAATCTGGATGGCCACAAGATAGTCTCACAAGATTATCTCTTTGTTGCTACCTGGTGGTCATCCTGATATTTGCAGCTCAAATCATCTGCTCTGATTTGTAGAAGCCTTCCAGCCTCTGAAGCAAAAGACCTGGACAGCTAAGGTCTGCTATGTTCTTGTGCTGCTTTCCATCCAGTAGCACAGAGAAGATCATCTATCTGTATCTGTTTGCCATGTGAAAATGCATTTTCAAATATGCAGGGAAAGCAGGGCAGTTCTACAGTTGTACAGCCTTATGTTATCTTTGTAGAATCCACAGAGATGTACTCACAGCATGCACATTCTGTTGGTGGCGGTGACAGCAGCAGCAGCACGACCACCACCACCATACCAATCTGTAGGACTTCAGAGGAAGAAAAGAAAGTCACAGTCATTAAAGCACCACATTATGCAGGAATTGGGCCAGTTGATGAATCAGGAATTCCAACGGCAATTAGAACGGTAGGAAATGTGTGTGTGCGTGTTTGTGTGTGCACTTCATACAATGAATGTCTTGTTGATGATGGCTTTTTCACATTCTTCTTGGCTTTATATAACATGAAGTGAAATATGCACAATCAGAGTCACTGGGGGGAAAGAAACAGGTATACCTGAAAAGCCCTGTTTTAATTTATTTGCATCTCCACTACACCATTGTTAGAAAAAAAAAATTGTTTGCTCCATTTTTCCAACCTCTTTTAAAACTTGTTCAACTTGTTCAAAGTTTGGCATTTACTGCCACTTTTCTCAAGATGCTCTTACATATCCTGTCACCCCTTGCGTTTATGAGTGAAGAGAAATCAAATGAATGAAAGAATGTAAACAACCTCCTGCTAAACAGTGTCTGACTTAGCTGCAGTGCTGGGAAGCACGGAACGGAACTGGACTCTCTCCTTTGCTGACATGGAATGAAGCAGAGAGGAAAATACATTTTCAGGTCAATGTTGAACACTTGCCACTAGTTAGTGCTTGAGTGCTTCTAGGATGCCACAGTGAAGTGTTTTGTTTTTAGTTAGGCTGAAGCATTTTTTCCACACTGCTGCTCCAGCAACCCTTTTCGTCTGGGACAGGCAGCAGCAGTAGCTGCTGCAACTGGTAGAAAGAACAGTTTGCCAATCTTCTCAACGAAAGGGATAAAAGAACAAGGAGGAGCAGGAATGAAAGCAGCAAAGCCTTTCAGATTTCAGGTGACTCTTTGAACAACAGCCGTGCTACGGAAGCAGTGGGAGTAGCTTGTCTATCAATGGTTCCAGTAGAGATTAAGTTGGGGGCGGGCAAAAGGGAGGAGGGAATTGATGGAGAAGTTTTGATCAGGTAAGATATGTTTTAAAAACTAAAAATGATGGGAATTAAATCCTTGCTTCTCTTAAGTATGATTTCTTTAAGGATATATAAGAAATCATTATGATTTTTTGAAGCCACAGTTTGATTATATAGAATGGTTATTTGTATTGACATATGAATTAAATTATTCCAATTGGTATCTAATGGACTTGACACATAGCTAGCTATATATTAAAATCTTTCAAATCAAATTGTCTAACATTTGTAATAATATCTCATTTTGGTTGGCATTTTGAAAAAAATTGTGCCCGTTGTTTAGATGTTTCATGATGTTCTCTTCAATTCTATGTAAGTTTGTTCAGAAGTCACTCTTCTAGATTTTGTGAGGTTATTCTTGGAGAAATGTGCTTGGAAGTAGATTTTTTATATCTCAGTATAACTGCAGATGAGAACTCTTAAAGCATTATACCTCATGCACAATTTTGATCTGTTTACGTTTTTAAAAAAATGAATACACACAAATTCACCTTAAAATGCAGATAAAGTGAATATGCAATACCAGTAGTGTTTCAGTTGCAGTAGATATTTATATTTATTTGCAACTATGTCACTTAACTTAAACAAAGTTTAATGTATTTATCATTTTAACATGTATTTTAGATAAATATAGTGCAAGTGCAGCTTGGTAGAAAAAGGTGGATTGATAAAATGTATGAATAAATGGCTAAGCTAATGGATAACTGCTGTAATCTAAACAAACCTGGAAGTTGTTCCAATGCACTCAAAAATAGAAAAAAATCATTTTAAAATAAAATGTGTTTTCTGTTCTATGTGTCCCTTTCATTAAATATGTATGCAGTATTCTGTTCAAGTTTAGTTATGATAAACAACCTCCTCTGCTGGGAAATTAATATACTTTTTATCAATCTTATAGTGTACTTCGATGACTCATAGTATGACAAAGAGTTCTTTGCTAATTTAAAAGTAACTTTGACAGCGGCCCTTAATTGATGTGGAAGTTGTTTTTGCTAATTGCCGCAATGACTATACCTTCCAGCTAACCAGGATTTACCTATAGCCTTTCTTCATTCATTCCAAGAATCTCAGATTCCAGGTTTGGTATAAAAGAAAATTATATCTGAAGATGCTTAGGATATTGGTATCTGGCACTGAAATAGCTTCATGATTCCTCCCAACTTCATGTGACTTATTATTACTAGAAGTACCAGCGATAAGAAAACTTACAAGCCCTAAGTACTAAACAGTTAATTAAGAATTACAGTTATTACATTTGAAATAATGGCATTTGTTTCAATTTCTTATTCATCTACTGATTTTAACAGTTACAGGAGTACCCATGTGTTTTTTGAACTAGAATTAGTGGATAAAAACAAAGCTCAGAAGGTCTCAACAATCTTTGCCTAGACTTTCTAATAATTTGAAAGCCTAAAGTAATTTATCTGTTGATTTCATGTGGACAAACATAGTATGGTGCACTTCTGTGCACTTCATAATCATGCATATTTATTGTTTGGTATCTTTGCCCAAAGGCATAACACTAAATGAAAAGAAGCCACATTTTAAGCATGTTGATTACTGCAATAAATTATGAAATTAAAAGTTTTGGCTTCATCAAGTAAAAGTTAGCTGCAAGAAAGGGAAGTTTATTACTGTAGCAGAGTTGACTACTGTATATTGTGCCCTTTGTTGAACAAAAGTATCTTTCAGCCAAGACATTTTTGTAAGATGTAATGTCTACCCATTTAGGACTTCTGATCACTTTCCAAGAGTTTAAGCAGCCCAGCACCCTATTAGCCTCTGGAGGATGGAAATAAAATATTTTAGGTTGAGTAATTTTAGCAGTTATGTTAAATCCTACTTTAAAAAAATCCAATATAAGAATTGTCTTATTGACTTGTTAGTAATTGCCCAGTGAAAGTACTACAAAGTATGAGAATATCTATTATATCTTGGAAGCCGTTTTGGAAAATACAGATTCCAACATGCTAGCTATAGAAAATATTGGCCCTTTGAAATTTTCATATATATGGACTTTATATAATTTTATTTCTATATTTTTGGGATACAAAACAGTGTAAATATTAAAATATAACCTGAGTACAATATAAGCTACTCTATGTGTATATTTTATTGGAATATAATTTCTAGATTTCTTATTACATAGTAAAAGTATAGAATTAGATAGTAGAATGTATGAATAAATCATTTCCGATGTAGAAGCTTTTGTAAATAAAAACACTAGAGTGCATTTTCAAAGCACAGTGTCAAATAGTGAGATATATAGAATAGCTAATAGTAAGGTATATAGAACAGATACATGCATGATTTCCATTTAATAAAATTATGTCCTGTATATTTTTCATTATGTTTGGTGATTAATCTGTTCCTAGGAAGAGTATAGAGGCATAGGTGTAGCATATGTACATCATATAACAAGATAATATTGTATCATTTCTAGTGATGCTAGTTGTACATGGTTTTGCATTTGTTTACTTGTTTTTATTAATCAAATGATCTATCCAATGAAACTCTGAATTAAACCATCCAATATTTTGGAAGTTACAATTTTTAACCATCATTAACCATCTATTAGCATGTGTTTAAGAGAAGATATGGGTTTGTTTCCAAACACAATATTTTACAAAGTGTGTTTTCTTAAAACTGCACTTGCTAGCAGTAGCCTTTTGTTGTTTTGCTCTTATTTGTTGTAATTTCGCCTTGCCCTGATGAACTTTGAAAGAAAAGCTGATAAACTTTCAAGAAGATTATGGGCATTAAATAATAAGGATGTGGATATAGTTTGGTTTCAATACATGCTTTCCGAGAAATGTTTATTAAATTCTAGGCAAGTGTTATTATTGTATTTCTCTTGCACAGAGAAAGCAAAATTATGCAGACATACAATGTGCTTGGTAATCAAAGCCTGATAAGTACTTGTTAAGCACCAGCTCCTGTCTTGCAGCAGAACAGGAGAAAACAAGGTGATTATTATTTATTATTTAGCGTATGGTGATGTACAGATAGCCAGGAGACTACAGCTTTGAAGACAGTAGATGTTTGGCAGCCAAGTTTGAGAGGTATTAGCTGGTGATGTCACTCTTACCTGGGGGACACCCAATGGGGACTCTTCTTTCTCCATGTGGGTTCCCATCAAACTGGTACCTATTTATCTACGCTCACTTTTTACATGCTTTCAAAGTGCTAGGTGGGCAGGAGCTAGAGTGAATGGGGGGAACTCACTTCTCCATGCAGTACGTTGTTCTCAAATCAGGCTTGCTGATCATAAAGGCTCCATTCTAACTACAGAGCCACCACATCCCTTGCAGATGAGAAGATGTCTTTCTGGGAGTATGTCTTTCTCTAGCGTTATGATAGGCCTTTCCACTTCCAAAATCCTGCCTGGGAATTTCCCCACTGAGAAAGCACATTAGAAAGGAGCTGGATAAGAAATGATGGGCCAGTCCTTTGTATTACTTTTGTATCCATAATTTTAAAGAACTGGCTCGCAATTTAATCACCTGTGTGGAAAATAATTGTGATGACCCAGGGCTGGGCATGAAAGCAATACAGCCAGAGTGAAGCTTAACTCCCTCTTATTGATCCAATTTTCCCCCCAAAATTCCCACAGTTCACTGTAAATCCAAGAGCAATGCTCCAAGCACACACACGCACCTCCACTAGTTCCTGGCTACTCTGAGTCCAGAAGAGAAGCCAGTTCTCAGAGCAGACAAAGTTCTGGAAACTTGGTTCCAGAGAGTCTTCATTGCACAAAGGGGTCACTGGGGCTGTAGCACAACCCGAAGCAGAGCTGTGTCACTGATTACTTGCCCACAGCCAGGCTAGGCAAACCAAGGCAAGTCGAAGCCAGGCAAAACAAGGTTTGGCAAAGTTGGTAACTGCAAGTGTGGCTGGAAAGAGGCAATGCTTGTTCCCAACACATCTCTTTAAATCTTATTCCCCAGGTGAGCTTTGTGATGAGGAGTGGGGCATTCTCCTCCCAAGTTGTCTGTTTGCCCTGCGCTTGTACTGCCTCCTCTCCATTCTCCATGCTTGAGGATCGGGTGGGGGAGACAATTGTTCTTCTCTGGAGCACCGGCGCTCCTCTGCTCCATTGCTTACTCTTTCCTTCTCCTCCTCTCTTGGTCATCTTGCGCCCTCTCTCCAACCCTGGCAACACTTCCAAGCATCAAGGGACCTGCCTCGTTCTGCTCCTCTGGTTGTTCTTCCAGTGCCAGCAATGCCACACCATCCTCCTCTGTCAGCACTGGCTTCATCTCCTCCTCCTCCTCGGACCCAGGCTGCAACAGGGCCATGACACTAATGTCCATTTAGAAAATATGAAAAATCCATGTGTATTATTGCCAGTTATGTACTCTGTTTAGGAGAAAATTAGATGTTACTTAAACTCTAGTGTTGAGACCATCTACAGCAATAATATGCTTTCCTTACTATAAGTTTTAAAAAGCAGTATTGCTGGCACTGTCTCTGAATTTATGTTCTCTACCACTTCTCTGTTTCTTTTCATATTGGACTAAAAACAGCTTTTATCTATATTGCATTTAATAGAATAAAATCAGGTTTTATATATACAGGTAGACTTGCAACAGTTATAGTTACAACAGTTCATTTAGTGACCATTCAAAGTTACAACATCACTGAAAAAAATGACTTGTGACCATTTTTCACAGTGATGACCGTTGCAGCATCGCCAAGGTCATGTGATTTACATTCGGATGCTTGACAACTGGTTCATATTTATGATGGCTGCAGTGTCCCCGGGTCACGTGATCCGCTTTTGCGACCTTCTGACAAGCAAAATCGATGGGGAAGGCAGATTCATTTTACAACCTTGTTACTAATTTACCAACTGCAGCGATTCACTTAACAAACGTGGCAAGAAAAATCATCAAACGGGGCAAAACTCACTTAACAAATGTTTCACTTAGCAACATAAAGTCTGGGATCAATTGTCATATGTCAAGTACTACCTGTACATGTTTTAATCATACAATTCAGTCCATTGGCTTCATTGTCAGTCTTCTGGATGACCAATCATTTATTTGTGAACAAGTAAACTTGGTCTATCTAGATTTTTTTAAATGTAAGTAATGTTGAAATATTATAGCTAACTTTTCTGGTTTTGTTTTGTTTTTTTAAACATGGGCTTTTGACCAATGAAAATTAGGCTCCTACTTTGACAAAATATTACTTTATTATAGACTGTTACCAGGCAAAGAAGAAAAACTCTAGTGAGAATAAAATGCTTCTGTTAATGGTACCATTTCAGTTTAATCATCAGCATTCAATGTCACATATATATTGAGTTATACTCTTAAATAGTACTTGTTCTTTTTCTTTATATTACCACTCTCTGATATTACTGTTATATTATGACAGTAGCATCTAGTCTTTTATCACAAAAAATATGCCTAACGGTTGAATGTAGTAGAATGCAACTCAATTGCATGCATCAATGAATAAGATTAACTGCTAATGATAGTAATGGTCTTCAGATTAATGGAATCTGATGATAGATATTGACATCTTATTTATTTTATCTGACCAGAATCCTTTCCTACCATATTTTTATTTTGTGTATATTCAGTATATTGCATCATTTTAACTCAAAACTAAGCAAAACATGCCAACTATTTAGGGGGACTCGTTAAGAGGCTAAATTAACCATTTTGCTAATGCTTTATTAATCGCCCATTCATCTCATGTCTGGACTACTGTAATATGCTCTATATGGGACTGCCCTTGAAGAATATTTGGAAGCTTCAATTAATTCAGAATGAAGCCCGAGTACTTTTACACAATTCTAAACTTGCATATGTGTCACCTATTCTGTGGGAGCTGCACTGGCTGCCAATCTGCTCCTGGCTACAATTCAGGGTGCTATTTGAAGGACCACCTCTCCTCTAAGACATCTACCTGGCCCTCCAGGATAGGAAGGCAGGGCATGTTATACATTCCATCAGTGAGTCTGAGAACCACAAATGGAGATGAAGCTGATAAAGTGGATGATTTGACTGTGGTTGCTGACATGGTGGTCGAGATATTTTATGGCGAGATATATTATTATATGGTGGATTTTAAAATTTTTGTAAGCTGCCATGAATCACTTACAGTATGTGTGAGTTGGGTAGCTATATAAATTTGTTAAATAAATTGTTTCCTACTTTGTTGGCAGTCTGGCTTTTGTACTGATTATCTGCTAATTGTTTAAATTTAATTTGTTTTTAGACTGTTGACAGGCCAAAGGATTGGTATAAGACAATGTTTAAGCAAATCCATATGGTTCATAAGCCAGGTATGTATAACTTCTACTTTTTGCTTCCTGTTTTGTAGCCTTTTAACAGATTAGAATTTTTTATAGATGCGTCTTTTATTGTTTATTTATTGATGTGATTCATCCCACCTCAATCCAGATGAATTAGGCTGATTATTATAGGTAATGAAAACATAAAAAAGAAACACTAATACCCAATAATTAATTGTAGTAATAACTACAACCATAAATAAAATTTTCCATTTTTATTTGTGTTTGATCCTTTATTTTTATTAGTACTATTATAAGTTCCATTTCTATAGCTGCCAGCTCTTGCACAACTCTGGATGTCTTACGACATTGAAAAGAGTGTAGAACTAATTGTTCTATAGACTGGATTAATATAGGCACCAATGAACAATAAACAATTCTCAAAGGCCTCTGGAAGAGACAGTTTCTGGAAAACCACTAGAGTTAGGACTATTCTTGCCTTAGGAACAGGCTGTTCCATAACAGGCAGTTCTCATACCTTTAACTAAGTCCTCTCCTACTGTACAATATAAATGTGAACTCTTAGTAACACTCCTTTGCTGCCTGGATTAGACAACGGGAACTATTTTAGAGTCTCTTAGAGACCCAGGCACTATGATATGTTACGTCTGTGTACTATATCTTCAATCCAGTAAGTTTCTTAAACACAGTTCACTATTTTTTCCAGTTAAAGAAAAACCCCTACTTAGTGGTCTTTTCAGGAAGAAAGTGAAGGGCTTAATATGAATGTCCTGAAAAGACCCAATAAAGCAAATTGTCATTTGCATTCCTTGGAATTAGCAAGTCTTGATTCCCATTGTTATTATTTACCAAGGCAACAAATCACTTTAGCTGCTTCAATAATGGAAAGAAATTAAAGCTTCTTTCTACATATTCTTTAGAGTTCATTTGTGGCATCTTAATTTGAATTCTGAGTGAGTACAAGTCTAGTGCTATATCACAAGAATAAACTGGAGAATAAACACCACAAATAGTAAACATTTATTAAGGGAGAGAGTTTAAAACTGCCTTGCTGTGGATAAATGGACAGATATTTCACTGCTATAACATTTGTCTTTCTTTTTGTAGATGATGACACTGACATGTATAATACTTCATATGCATATAATACTGGTAGGAATTATTCCTTCCTTTCACATGAGTTTTTCTTTTTAGTGCCAGCAACTTCTAACAATATCTAACCCCACTGGACCATGCTTTATTCTGCTTCCATAACCGGTTTTATCTATTGAATCTCTATATATGGTTTTTGTTTCATTATTTTCCATATATCAACAATTAATGGTTCTTTTCATAATTAATCCAATATGTATTATTAATTTTTATTTGTATTGGTTGGACAACTTTTATGTTAGAGTGGAGAACACTTGAATGCAGAATAACATTGTAAGGTAACTCATTAGCGCAGAGTCTGAAATCATGGTATCTCCAACAACTTTTTCATAATATCTTGCATTGAACGTAGCAGCATTGAAGGGTACTGCTTGGTTTCTATGCACAACATAAAGGATGTTCGCAACCCAGAAAGGCATATTATTCTTCCCCACTTTGAAGAAAGAGCATGAGCATTGAGAGGTCTAATTTTCATCAGATTCCAAAAGAAAATCTGTATCCTAAGGGAAAAAAATGGATCTACCATAAATAGATCCATCCATTTCACTAGCATGAACAATATGGTAAGAATACATTGGAAAAATTGTGAAAATATTTTAAGTTTCCTATGACTAACAGGAAGCCTACTGGAAATGTGTATGATATTCCTAGATTCAGAATGATGCAACTTTTTACCACAGGACATAGCCTATATTTTAAATGTCATTTCAGCTTTAACTTTATGCTGCATGTTGTAAATTTTCATCTAATGTGATATTCCTGGGTAATAATTTTAATTAATAATGATTACTAACAAGGAAGGCTTTATCTTTTAACAATATTAATAAGGCATGGTTTTACAAGCAAATATATAAATGTGCATCCGTTTATGTCCTTTTGAGTTTTGAGTAATGGTCTGGAGCCAAGCTAACCTTATAGGCCATCATTAATTATTTCATTTGATCTCATAACTCAAACAAGTTTCATTTTTCATCAGTGCATTTGTTTTTTTCTGTTCTTTGTTCTTAACAAACTATCTCTAAACTATCAGAGAGAAAGGGGGAGAGGTTAGACACAACAGCATATATTTTTGCTCGCCTATAGTTCCACTTGCTTTACAAGTCTAATCCTGATTCAATAAGAGAGATCTCTATGTGGAAAAATACTGCACAAATGTCTTCCCAGTCAAATCATAGAGATTCAGTATGATACAGAAGAGCAATTTTATCCCCAGCAACAGAGTATGCATGTATTAATACTCTTGATCTTCATAGTTGTGATGCTCAAGAGAGGTCACTATGAGTTATAAACCACCTATTTCAGAGATGATGAAAAAATATAGACAACTTTATTCTTCCATTAAATGAACAATCAACATTATCTGGGAGAGTCACATTTTATACCAAAATGGCAGAGAGATCTGAATTAAGACCACTAGATTCCATCCAAAACTAGTATTGGTTACTAGGGACAGTGGGAAGGCTCCTTTTACTCAATTCATATTTGAATGGACAATGTGTGCATGTGTGTATGTGTTTATTAGGTTGAATCAATTCACTTCAGGATGAAGCCCTCTTCATTAAAAGTTATGGGCCACAAGTGGTCCTGTAAGAGTTGCTAGGCAGATGCCATTCATGTAGTCAGTCTAAAGCTGAGAAAGAGAGTGCCTGACCCAAATTCTCCCACTCAACTTCCATGCATAAGACAGAACTACATTCTCGTTTCCCCATTCCTTAACCTTACACCACACTGCTGTGTGTTTGTCTATGTGTGCATTTGTCTACCTCTATCTGTCTAGAACTAATATTTAGATCCTTTATGATTTTGCTTTGTCTTTGACTAGGAAACTTCAGTCCATCACTTTCTGCTCAAGCACATCCTGTTGCAAAGACTCAGACATACAGGCCACTGACAAAAAGTACTTCTGACAATGGCACTGAAGCCTTTAAAGTCTCTTCACCTCCACCACCTCCAGTACCACCTGTTCGTCCTTGGCAAAGATCTGCCCCAGAAAAGTAAGCTATGCATTACTTTACAGCAATTAATCCAGAAGTGGAAAATTTAATACTAGCATGAGAGCCAATATGTCAATGTTTTGTTTTGTATTCAGGGATACAACATGACTTTCCATGGAAGCACTTGGTTGGTTGGTTCGTTGGTTGTTGGTTGGTTGGTTGTCTGTCTGATTGACTGACTGACTGACTTTTTTATATATTGCCAATTTCCAGTGCAATCATGGTGCCATATACATCATAAGATAACTCATTAGAGCAGAGTCTGAAATCATGGTATGTGCAACAACTTTTCTTCTGCTACTTCATTTCCCAGAGCAACTCAAGATTTACAATGAGAGGCTACTTGCAAATAATTGGCCTGGCATCCTTGTCATCTTTATATTCCAGAGCTAAATTAAAGATTCAAATGAGTTGTCTAAGAAGGCTATAGAAATCCCCATCTCCTGCTGGAATCCATTTGGATCCAGAAGACATCAGAGCACACAAATGTAATGGGCCTTTCCACCTGCATGATCGGGAAATTATCTGACTGCAGCAAAAAAAAGAAAAGAAATATGTCTTCCATTCATGATGCAATTCAATCATGATAGATCATGAAAGATCAATCAATTTCATGATCAATCATGAAGGAAGGGTAGTTGTAATGGGTGACCTATATTCATTGAGCCACAGATCATTCAGAACATCCCCATGATTGCCATGGAGGTCAGGAAGGCCAGGAACTCCTGAACTCTACTCAGAGCCAAACATAATATAAAGAATTTGAAACCCCCTTATTCTATAACTTGGGGGGGGGGTGGTAATCAGGGCTATTTTAGGAGCCCTGATACCTCCCCAACCCATATGTCAAGCAGCATGCGGATGATATGTAGACACCCTCAGCTTGTCCTTATGGTCCAATTTTACAAACAGATAGCCATTGCCTACTACCACATGTGCAGAATCCCTAGCTACCAGCAATCTTTATTCATCACCACTCCATCTCACACTGTTATTGTCATAAACAAAGAATGACTCAAACCTAGATAGACAAATCTTACTCATCCAGCTTTCAGCATTTATTTAGTAAAAGCAGTAGCTTTTTGCCTTTTGATTTTTAAAAATAACATTATTACTTATGTTGATATGGAATGTAATTTTCTGTGTGGTAATCTTACTAATTCCATTCAAAGTCAGGAGAATCTCTATCGTGATGGAAAATTTTGTTCCAGTTTTATTTAAAAAGATCCATTAATTTGTTCTTTTAAAACTCTGTGATGCATGCATTGGATGTTAGATCAGTTGTCAATTTATTTTTATTTTTAGAAATGAGTGGGAGCCTCCTGATAGAAAAGTAGATACCCGCAAATTCCGTTCAGAACCAAGAAGCATTTTTGAATATGAACCAGGAAAGTCTTCAATCCTTGAACATGAAAGACCAGTAAGTAAAGTTTATCCATTTTTATGTATAATAAATAATTCTGTAAAACATTTATTCTTTAAATCTGCCATGCTTTTGTTAAGTATAATAAGAAGATGCTTTTAAGAATTACAAGACAAGCATTTTGTTCAAGAGACTTCTTCCAGGAGATTGATAACTATGAGTCTGCAGTGTATCTGCTTTGACTCATGGTTGACTATGGCTTGCCTTGATCTCTTGCACTTCTGTGCATCTGATAGATCAGGTGGATTCATTTGCCTTTAAGGTATTTTCTCATATCCAGGGCAAGAAAATGCCCTAAAGACTTATCTTGTGTGGTAAATCCACACAACTTGCTGTTGAGGACGTTTTTTGGCTTCTTCTCCCAAGTTGTCCATCAGTTTTCACAGATGTCTTCCAGCATCCATAACAGAGCCATTAAAGAAGGTGCCAAGAAGATGGTGGGCACCTGGTCTTGGCTCAGGGACCACCAGTAATAAGTAATAAATTACTCCCATCCCAATAATAAATTCCCAATACTGGTTTCATTTCTTAGAGATAATGTTTAACTGAAAGTTTAATATAGAACAAAGAGGCAAAATTATTTTCCTTGGGTTGATACAGTATTTTTATTTTGGGTTGGGGATTCGGTGAAAATAAATACACACATTCATTTTGTTGCATAGATAATAATATTTTCAAGCTTCTAATGGAAATGAGTAGATTTTTTTCACTATCCTTGTAATTTCATCAGCACATATAGCAGTAACATGAGAGTTGTTACACATGTAAATAATTTTTTTGTTCCAAAATGCACAAATGTGATTTTGTTATTACTGATATTTTACATTTTATAGCACAGTGCAAACTAACAGATAATTAAAATTCTTCATTAGGATTTTTGAAAACTAGTTATTAAATTAATGAAAAGCATGTTTAATGAGGCTGCAATCTTACATCTTAACACTTATTGCTAACCATTCCAGTAACCCAAAGAGTATCTTTCACTATGTCTGCTCACAAGTATTTAATTCATGGAGTTAACTACTGTATATTTATAGAAATATACATACAGGCTGTTTGCATTGTGATGGCCACATCTTGATCTAAACAAACTGATTCTAACTCAGTCAGTATGGTTTATGATGTTTAATATGGAAGCAACAATTTTCCTAAATATTTTAATTGTAAGGTTAAATATATATAGCAGTTTGGAATTGGTTACTTATAAACATGGTAAATATAATTCAGAAACCTTCTGTTTGTCTTGGTTGGCTTATATATGTTGAAATGGATTATTAGTATTATTATTTTATGATGTTACATTGTGATAGTAATGTTTGAAGTTGTATTTTATCATATTACATATGCCATAAATTAGAATAGCCTTCCCTAATTTCATATTCTTCAGATGCTAGCTGAGAGTTATTAACACAAATGGAGAGTGTTAGATCAGGAAAGACTATAGTTTATATATTGGTAACCTTCCTTAAGATATACTGTAGCTATAATGTAGGTTATGCAAAAGTGGAGAACTTTTCATTCAATGGAGAAGGTATATGTAGCTCTGAGTTGGAATTTTGGATTTTTGGTTTTTCTCCAAGTTTGGTTGTTTCCTCACAGACATTTCCCCCTCAAGCTAGATTATCAGTGAAAGGTAGAGTGGTGTACTGGAAAACAGCACCAGTTAAACAATCAGGGAAAGAAAATAATATCCTAATCAAAGAACCATCAAGGAATATCTCCACTAAGATCAATGGTACAAGTCATTATATATAAATAGCTAGCAAACTGATGCTGCTGCCTAGCCTGATAATGAAGCATCTGCAAGAAAACAACCAAGTTCAGAGAACACCAAGAACTCTATATTGATACTATCCAATGATCATCCTCCTCTTCCTCATTGGCTAATTATAACAGACCAGAATATATAACAAATAGAATATGTCCAAAGCAATGAATCAGGACTTAATCATAGGGAAATGTGTGAGTATTGAGGAAAATACTTCTCCCAATTTTTAGAATTGTTCACTTGGAAGAATATGCAATGGAATCCAGAAAAATTTGAGTTACGTACTAGGAACTCTCTCTTCTGTCCTTCCATTGAAGGAAAGTACATTGGTAAATAAAGCACTACCCTCAGAAGCAGGCCAGGCCAGTGTTGCTACCCGCCCAGACACTAGTATAGTGAACAATGATTGAGGAATTCTATGCCATCCTTCCATCTCCATATTGTCTAACAGCAGGAAAATGATCTACCTATCAGTGTCCTGAGTGTGTGGCCCCTAGAGCTGGAAGAGTCAAGTATTCTCTTTCCCTTTATCTGCAGTCACCTGCAATATTATCAGGGATAGTGGGAAATAAGCAGCTATGCACAGATGCAAATCATTCAGGCACACTTATTCAAGATTGAGACTCTGAATCCAGTACTTCTTTAAGTTTAGCAAATCACAAGTTTTTTGCAAGAATGGAAATATTCCCTCATGCCATCGCTCTCCAGAACACCTAATTACCACAGTACTGTCTTATGTGTGATTTTTTCCCCGTGTAGTATGGCTGTATTATTATTATCCTTCTCATCTTTTGTATTACCTTCTCCTATTGGTATCTTATGGTTATATTATATTGTTGTTTGTATGTATACTGACAGCGTATGCACCAAAGACAAATACACCAGAAAGAAAGAAATAGCTATACAAAGAGAGGCTTCCAGCCTTTTCCAGTCACAACACAATGGACATAACTTAATCTTACAGCAGAACTCCTAAACCACTGAAACTCAGCAATCTGCCAACTTCTAAAGTCTTTTGTGTATTCTGGATTCCATGATGGAGATATGCTGGCATAGGATGCCATAAAACCTTGGCTCAACACCAGCTTGCTCAGTAATAGGCTACCTATAAAAATGGAGTCACTTGGCAAATGGTGGGGTGTCTCAGTTTGTGTAAGTGAGTCAGGGGTGGGATTCAACCGGTGTTACTACTGGTTCGGTGACTGTTTTGCAATTGCAGTTACATTTTCTACTTTTCAATATTGAATAAGGTGTATTCATTCAATAAAATTACTTAAGTTCATTTCAGCATTAACTTTCTCTGGGTTAATTCTCATGAGCACTTGAGAAACCAAACTTCATTTCCAAAGCCAACTACAGTAATAAAATGTTGGATGAGATGAGATTTTGGCATAGGTAATACAACTTTTCTTGGATTTAAATTCACAAACATTTGCATCAATTTACATTTCAGTGACCTCTGCTTGTGCATCTATTAGTTTTTTGAATCTGGGCTTTGTTTCAGTGGTAGCATCCAAAAAAACTGAACTAATCAGCCATTTTAATGATGTACAGACTTTCTTGGCCTTAGAAATTTGCAGTTTTGTTGCCAAGGATTATATTTACAAAATGTTTTATGGGAGTAGGAAGGAGGGTTATTGTTGGCATTCTTGTGGTAGAATTTATGTAATATGAGATAACCTTTTAAAAATGTTTTCAATTGCAAATAGTTCCCAGATGGTGAATAAACAGAATCAGATCATCAATGGGGGTTTCATTCATTTTAAGAAACATTTTATGGTTATTTAGATACAGTAAATATTGCTTCCAGTAAGAAAAGTGAGATATAACCTTGTGTTCTATTGGAAGTTATTATTATACAGTACTTAGTATTATCCTGCTAATATCAATCCTGGCAATCTGACTCAAAATTACATGGGGAATTGCACACACGCATATTCATTTTTCATGAAAGGCATCAAGAGATTGTGAACTTAATCAGAAGAATAACAAAACATCTAGCCAGATATATAACCATTTTCCCTCTGGTTATGATTCCTGCCAAAATATTCTCCTATCACTTCTCTAAATTAGAGGTATATCCTCTAAGTAATTTAACCTTGATTCAGATTTTTTCAATTTTACTCAAATTAAGTTTGGGAATACAGCTATCAAGTATTATATAATCCAAGCATTTTTCTGTTGGGAAAAGAATATATGTATGTTTTAATGAATTATGATCTTATACAATATTTATCTGTTTCATGAATTGTTTTATTTTTGTCAGTTTTTAAATCTGTCAATAAGAATAGTTTGGAATAGGTTCTATCAATGGTTAGAAACATGAGATAGTAGAAGTTGGAATGTGAAATAATAAGGTTAGGTGGACATGGAAATAAATATTATTTTTAATATCAATGTAGGAATGTAAGTATTAGAATGATAGACTATCAGAATATGATGGTCAGAAACTATTGTACAACACTAGCACTGTTGAAGATAGTACATATGTTATTCTGTTTTTACTTTTGTTTTATGGTAAGTGGAATGCCAGGACAATTACACTGTAATCAATATATTTATATGTAAACAATAAAAATATATCTTAAAAAAGAATAGTTTATTAGTCTCCATTGTATACTTAATGTTAATTTCATTTGCATAAAAAGCTACTTGGTTGTAGCTTTTTTGGCATGTTAGTTGTGACACAGCATGAACTGAAAAATTACGGGGGGCGGAGGAATGTACAGCTGTGTTTTTTCTGTAATGATCACTTTTTCACTGTTGTTAGCTTCATTTTACATAGCTCAATCAGTTCTGTTCTTTTATTACTCTGTTAATGTAGCAAAATAAAACTCTTCCATACTCCACAACCAATATTTGAGATAAAAATGCAATTGGTAGCTTCAATCTCTTAATCATGCACTTTGCCATTAAAATTATTTTTATTTGAAACAGAACAAGAACTATAGGCATTTAGATAAATTACAAATATCTGGAGAAGCTAGTATTATCTCCCTTGACTTCTCATAGATTTGCTCCAGTTATAGTCTTCTTGAATTTTTTCATCATTTCAAATTCTCCTAGCCATCACCATCTGCACCTTACTGGCCTGCTAATCCTTTCACACATGCACATACACAACCACACTCATATACACACTATATACACATATACACACTATACTTACAGATAGTCTTAATGAAGGGGAAAATATTTTGATAACTGATCTGAATAAAATATCTTCTTA